TGTCAGCCTCATTTTTATAAAGTAAAGCCTGCATCCTCCCTGGAAGCTTCCATGTTCTTTGATGTCACCACTCAGCCTTCCCAGAGATTATTTTATTCTGCCTCTCCTCATCCAGCTGACTTTCTGTGCTCGGCTCAAATGCCATTTGGGAAAAGCCTTTCCCCACCGCAACCTCAAGCCACCAAAAACCAAAACCACACTCAGTGCCATTGAGTAGAGCTACTCCACATGGCTTCTGAGATGAAAATCTTTATGGGAGCTGACAGCCACATCTTTCTTCCTGGGAAGCGAGTTTGAACTCCCAACCTTGTAATTAGCAGCCTAACAATCACCCCACTACACCACCAAGACTCCTTATCCCAAGGCAGGGCTCCTTTTACTCAGCTCCATGTTCCCCAGTCCATGCATCTACTGGCATGTCAAGAATTAAATTCTAAGTATTTCTTATCTGTCACCTCCACTCTATGTTTCTTGAGCTTTGTTACCTTTGTGTTTCCAACACCTACTGTAATGCCCCACACAGTGAGATAGGTGGTAGATGAATGAATACATGAATAAAACAAGCTCTAAAAGATCAAAGAGCTTGCCCCATCCTCAGTCGACAGCAGCGATGGAAAGAAGTTGAGGCTCTTGAACGGGGATATCTTTCTGGTTGCTACGACTGCCCACATCTAGACCTTTCTACGCAAACTCTTAAGTGGCCTCAATGGAAAAGCCCTGGGCCTCTCAGTGAGCCACTAGACTTCTCAGTGTTAGCCTGTAATCTGTAGCAAAGGCTTGGGAATCAGATTCATGGAACTGATGTAGTTGGGAGCAGAAACAGAAGCAACAAGCCCGCCATGCCTCATTTCTTTGGCTTGGGGGAACAACTCACTCTACGGACTATAAGACCCCTGAATTTAGAGGCATTCTCTTAACAGAACCAAAGGGAGGCCTGATCTACTTGCATCTGTTTCTCATGTTGATCCCACTCATTGTTTGGTACCTGATTCTGGAGCAAACCTAATAAAAACACTTGCTTTAGATCCAGGTTGTTATTCTCCCTCATTCTTTATGAGATGGTGGTGAAAGGAGAGCATGTTAATATATTATTGTGAAAAAGCTTGGTCCCTCTTAATGTCATCTTTCTTTTATAAGCCCAAATTATTTTCTGGACATTTGTTGATTCTTCCCTCCCTCTCTTCCTTCAAAGGAGCCAGGGTGATGCAGTGGGTTAAGCATTGAGTTACTCACAGAAAGTCCAGGTGTTTGAACCCACCAGCCACTCAGAGAGAGAAAGATGAGTTCTGTTTGCTCCTGTAAAGATTTTCAGCCTTGGAAACCCTAGGGAGCAGTTCTACTCTGTCTTAAAGGATCGTTATGAATCAGAAGCAACTCAATGGCAGTGAATTCTCTTCCTTTCTTCCTTCTCAAATATTTCAAGAGCACTCACCAGTTGTTGAGTTCTGTTACTAGAGATACAAAGATGAATAAGACACAGTACTCAACCTTCCAGAATTCCCGATGAATTCTGGAAGCGATAGAAAAGTAAGCAAATGCTCATCATATACTTGAGTAAGCGCTGTAATGATTGCATAGACAAGGCCCTATAACATCAAGGGAGTTGTAGTGGTGTGCAAATAGATGTTAAGTAGCCAACTGGTAGGAGGAGCCCTGATTTGTAGTGTTTGCTGATTTCCATGTGGTATATAGTCCCATCATTGCTGGTTTCAAGCTACCAATTTGGTGTCACTGAATACAGAGTTAGGAAGCCTTGTGCACAAAGGGGCTCTTTCAAATAATTAAAAAAAAAAGCCAGATCCACACACAACCTTGATTTAGGCCTTGTGATACCCTGGACAAACAATCCAGTCATGCTGAGCCCGGACTATAGAACTGTGTAAACTAATAAATGAGTGTTGTTTTAGGTCTCTAAGTTTCTGGGCTAAAGTGTGCCTGACCCAAACCATGGTATTTTCAATAGCCTAATATGCATGTGAAAGCTGGACGGTGAATAAGAAAGACCGTAGAAGAATTGATGCTTTTGAGTTATGGTGTTGGAAGAGACTATTGGAAGTGCCATGGGCTGCCAAAAGAACCAATAGATCTGTTTTGGAAGAAGTACAACCAGAACGTTCAATAGAAACCAAGATGGCCAGACTTCATCTGTCATATTATCAGGAGGGACCAGTCCCTGGAGAAGGATATCATGCTTGGTAAAGTAGACGGACAGCAAAAAAGAGGGAGGCCCCCAACGAGATGGATTGGCACAATGGCAGCAGGAATGGGCTCAAGTATAGCAGCAACTATGAGGATGGCACAGGACTGGGCGGTGCTTCGTTCTGTTGTACAAATGAATGAATGGGTTGGAATTTACTCAATGGCATCTAACAACAAGTTCCACTATGGGTGGGAACTTACTCAGTAACACCTAACGACAAGAACAAAGTTTCCGGTTATTTGTTACATGGCCATAGAAAACCAATAGAGAACCAATTATATACCGTTTTTACAAATATGAAAACTAAGGCTTGGAAATAGTAAATAATCTGACCAAGGCCATGAACATCTCTAGTGAGTGATGGAGTTGAGAGGCAAAATGAAGTGTGTCTGACTCCAAGGCCTAAGTTCTTGACTTTTATTCTCTTTGATTTCCTGCAGAAAATCATGCGACATAAACCATAAAGGGGCAGACTCACACAGGAGCTTTTGATGATTTATTTTAGGTACCAATAACCTAGGCATCACTATTAACAGTGAACTTCTGAGCCAGAGGAAAATCAAACATGGAGTGTGACTTAGAACTTGAAGTGGTGCTCCAATGACTACCTTGATAATTGTTCCAGAGGACATTGCTATGGAGGAAAAGAAATTTCTTATGGAACTCTTCTTACTGAATGCTTGAATTTGCCTAGAATATCTTTTTCTGGTTCTCTCCTCCAGTGTGACCAGATGTGCTCAGAAAATTTGGTTCCCCCTGAATATGTACATCTGTCAAAATTCCTGTCAATTTTAGCACAACTGCTAAGGAAGTGAACAAAGAGAGTTAGTGATTAACTTCAAAGAACTTTGTTGGAGAGGAATAAAGATATTTAAGGCCTATTTTGTGAACTAATTGCGTTTGCATATTTATGGGATTTACTGATATGGCAGTAATTAAAAACTATTTAGTAGTCTTAAAGGACACATAACTCAGTTGCTGTTTGCATAATAAACACTTCCTTATTATGTTTGCATGATAATCCCCCTCCCCCTACTGCTTCCCAAAAGACATTGGTGGGTGTATGAGGCATGGTCATATCTTACTTGGAAATAATGAAGTAATAGAGTGCAAAGGTTCATGGGAATGTGGAGAGGGAGCTTCAGAAATAAATATATTTCTAGGTACTTCTTTCAGGAGTCATGGTGGCACAGTACATTAAATGTTGGGCTGCTAACCAAAAGGTTGATGGTTTGAACCCAATGGTAACTCCATGGGAGAAAGACGAGGCAGCCTATTTCTGTAAAGATTTACAATCTAGAAGCCCCAGGCAGCAGTTCTTTCTACTCTTGTCCTATAGGGTTTGCTATGAGTCTGAATGAAAGGCAGCGGGTGGGAGGTACTGATAATTCTGGCCTGATACATTGTCAGAGAATAGCAGATTCAAATTTCAGTTAAAGTCTTCCTTTTGCCCTATTTAGAGTCCTAGTGGTGCTGTCGGATAAACACTGAACTACTAACCCTGAGGTCAGAGGATTAAACCCACCAGCTGTTCTGCATGAGTAAGATGAGGCTTTCTGCTCCTGTAAAGACTTACAGCCTCAAAACCCCTATACAGCATTACTATGAGTTGGAATAGACTTGATGGTGGTTTTGGATTTGGATGTTTCTTATAGAGCCTGAATACTTAACCCTTGATAAATTTAATTCTTAACTTTAATTTACTGATCTGCTTGAAAAGTCTGAGTGTAGCTTGCTCCCATATTCATCCTTTATAAGGAGATGTCTGAAGGGAGTGAAATCCTTGAGTAATGAATGTGTGAATAAAAAGCTTCCTTTGAGTGAGAAGCGCTGTATTTGAAGAGAGGGAGAAGCGATAACAGTCATGAAAAATTACAGGTGAGGACCATATCAAATCTAAAAGCACTCAGTGAGCAAGCCCAGACAGAACAGTGAGGTTAGAAAAACAAGGCGCTTAGCTATTGGATAACACAGAGACACAGGGTGGGGGTGATGAAGGAAAGATCCAGAAGCATCTGTTTATAAACTACTTTGAAGACAAGTTGTTCAGAACTATTCCCATCTTCTGGCAGAATTCATCAGCCAACAAGAGCTATAATGGGCAAGCTCACCAGACTGTTGTTAAATTAGCTAATGAAGGTCGTAATGTACCTGTATTCCACATCATTAGCAATGGCCTTCTAGTAACAGATGGCTATATGAGAAAGTGCAAAGAAAGGGAGGGCCAGCGTGCCCCAGGAAGTCTGACTTAGTCATGCTTACTAAAATTCATGGCAAGAACACAGTGTCACTCATCCTGTCAATGAAACCTCAACATAAAGAAAATTTCTGTGTTTCCTTACCATAAAATGTGCTGCCTGCCAGGATACGCTGTCTGCAGCCGGCCTTTCTCCTGACCCACTACCTTCATCTCAGAGGTTGTTGTTGTTGTTGTTAAGTGCTGTAGAGCTAGTTCCAACCCACAGCGATCCTGGATAGGGTTTCCAAGGAGCAGCTGATGAGCTTGAACTGCCAACCTTGTAGTTCAAAAAGCTTTGCAGTCTGGTGCATTAACCCACAGCACCACACCAGGTAGGGCCAGGATGGAAAGCTCTGGGACTTTTTCAGCCCACCTCTTGATAAAGTCCCACCTTCTCTCAAGCATTTAAATACTGAGAACTTCCAGAGCAAAAAGTATCACAAGTGGTTGGTTTGAGAGAAGCGAAATCTATTTTCTCACAGTTCTGGAGGTTAAAAATCATGTGGATTCCTTCTGTGGGCCTCTCTCATCATTTCTGGAGTCCACCAACAATCCTCGTACATGGATCCTCAAATTGGCATGCTTTTCCGCTGCGCGCGAGCATGTGCACGTGCGTGTGCACGTGCGTGTGTGTGTGTGCAAATTCAGCTCTTTTAATAAGACACCACTTAGAAGTCATAATGTTTAAGATCCATTCTCAAACATGACCAGAAGAATTTAACAAATGAAAACCTCTGTATCTAAACAGTGTAGTAGTTTATAGGGGTTGGGGTTAGGACTCTAGCACCACATTTTTGAGAGATATCATTCAATCTATAACAGCGTGTTTCAAGTCTCAGTTACAGTTTGTGGAAAAATAAAATAGAAAGATTTCCAGTAACTTTTCAAAGCCCCTCGTATGATTTCCATTACTTTGTATTAGACTTCTTCACCAGGTTACATTGGAGTCCTGGTGTGGTGTTGTGGGACAAAACTGGACTGCAAGGTCCGTTTGAACTACAAGGTCAGCAGTTCAAACTCACTAGTCGCTCCTTGGAAACCCTATACAGAGTTGCTATGAGTCGGAATCTACTCAACGGCACAAAACAACAATCAGGTTACATTAGAAAGTTTTTTTTTTGGTTTGTATTTCAAAAGTTTTCAGCAAAATTGGAAGAATAGTAAGAAGAACTTCACACAACCATTTAAGAGTAAGTTGTCAACACAGTGCCTCCTTTTCACAGAAGGTTTACTTACATGCTGTTCCTATAAATTAAGATATTCTTTTACGTATTCTCGATGAGATCAAAATCAGGAAACAAACATTGGTATATATATTACTACCATCTCATACACAGATCCTATTTGACTTTCACCAATTCTTCCCCAAATGTCAAAACTTGGATCATACATTGCATTTCCATGTAATGTCTTTTTAATCTTTAGTTTGCTGTGGTGACCCTGGATGGCACAGTTAATGTGTTTAATTCCATCCAGAGGCTCCTTGGAAGAAAGGCCTGGTGATCTGTTTCGGAAAAATCAGTCATTGACAATCCTCTGGAACACAGCTCTATTCTGACACTTTTGAAGTCACACTAAGTTGGAATTGACCAGAGAACAATTGGTTGTTGCCGTATTTTTATTTTCTTTCTTTCAACTTTTTATTGCTAATTGAATGAAGGTTTACAGGGCAGATCATCAGTTTTACATTCAACAAATCAAATACTTTGTTTTATTAAATGGTTGCAATCCCCTCCATGTATCAACAGTTAATAGAATTTACCTCTACTCACTTTAACTATTGCATTCCTCCCTGTGTCTCCCACTACCTTCATCTTTCCTCTGTAAAACTCCCTCTTGTTGTATATTGCCTGCCCTGTCACCCATGTTAACATGTGTCTATAACATAGACTCCCACCGCCCTTAACAACAATGGTGCTGTGGAATAAAGCACTGGAATGCAAAGTCAGTTTGAACCACAAGGTGGTGGTTCAAACTCACCTGTCGCTCCTTGTTGTTGTTATGTGCCGTGGAGTCAGTTCCGACTCATAGCGACCCTGTACAGGGTTTCCGAGGCTTTAAATCCTTCCAGGAACAGAAAGCCTCATCTTTCTCCCGCAGAACAACTGGTAGTTTCGAATTGCTGACCGTGAGATTCGCAGCCTAATTCATAAGCACTACACTAGCCGCTCCTTAGAAACTCTATATTTCCATATCTGTATTGGATTGTAAGGAGCTCTGGTAGCGTAGTGGTTACGAATCGGGCTGTGAATCGCAAGGTCAGCAGTTCGAAACTACCAGCCGTTCCACTGCAGAAAGATGAGGCTTTCTGTTCCAGTAAAGATTTACAGCCTTGGAAACCCTGTACAGGGTCACTATGAGTCGGAAATGACTCCACGGCACATAACAACAACAATATTGAATTCTGCGTGGTGTCGTCATGTATGGTAATCTTAGGTTGTTGTTGGTTCTCAGTCCAAAGAACATCCTTTAGCATTTTTTGTAAAGTTGGTCGTATCATTACAAGTTCCTTTAATTTCTGTTTATCAGGGAGTGCCCTAATTTTGCTGTCATATTTGAGGGACAGCTTTGCTGGGTACAAGACTGTTAGCAATTTTTTGCTTTCAGAGTTTCGTATGTGCAATTCCATTGCTTTTTGCCTGCCTGATATCTGCTGAGAAATCAGATCTTAGTCTCCTTGGTTTTCTTTGTAGGTAACTTTTCATTTTTTCTAAGCTGCTCTCATGATTCTTTCCTTGTTTTTGATTTTGGAAGGTTTGATTATGATATGTCTGGGTGATTTTCTTTTGGGAATCTATCCTGTTTGGGATTTCTTCAGCTCCTGTACGCTTATCTTCTGGTCTTTCATGATGTTAGGTAAGTTTTCTTCCTACAACTCTTTGACAATGTTCTCTGTGCTTTTTATTGTCTCCTCCTGTTCTGGAATATTCCAATCACCCGTAAGCTGATCCTCTTCACGGTGCCCCACATAACTCTTAGGCTTTCTTCAGATGTTTTCATTCTTTTTTCTGATTGTTTTGAGAGATTTATCTTAAGGTTCACTAATTCAGGCTTCCATTCCTTTGAAGCTTCTCCTTAGCCCTTTCAATGTATTACCCATTTCTGAGATCTTAGCATTAATCGTCTAGATTTCTAATGGCAGGTTTTGTATTGTTTCAGAATTTGCATTTATTTTGTCTGTTTGTTCTTGCAGTGTTTTCCTGAATTCTTGTAAATTCTCCTTGCTTTACTTAGTCTTTCTATATATCCTTTGAAGGTAAATATCACTCTTTTGAATTATTTCTCAGGTAGTTCCATTACCTTTTTTTCCTCAGAAATATTTTCTGTGTCTTCATCTTAGCCATTTGTGTGAGTCATTCTCTCTTGTTTCTTCATGTGAGCTAAAATTGTCTGCTGTCTCTGGGATGTTGTGATCCTGTTGTATTGCATTTTATTGATGATTCTATGTTGATGTGCTCTTAGGTTCTCACCAGCTATCTCCTGTGGGTGTATTTGAGAATGGAAAATGTGTGCAACATTGTCTGTTTGCCATTCATGCACCTCAGTTTATGGTGGGTTTGCCTGGTGTTGGCTACTATCTATTGTTGATCAGATGGTATAGGAGCTGTTATTGACTCTTGTTCAGTGGGTAGGGCTGCAGAGGGTATAGTTCTGGATGGGCTGTATAGGCACAGTTACTATCTCCTGTCAAGTGGGAAAGAGGGGAAAACATTTTCTTCCCCTAACCCTCAGCCCCCATACAAGAAAACAAAATAGAATAAGCAAACAAACAACCAACAATGAAAAGAGAAAATAATAAAGGAGAAAAAAATAAATAAAAGCAGGCAGCAACCAGAAAAAAAGAACATAATAACTAAAAAGAGAAAAGAGAGATAGGGAAATGTAGCTATAGAAGAAAAAAATAAGACAGAAAATAAAAGGAGGAATTACTATATTTTTTAGACTATCCAGGGAGGGGAAGATAAAAAAAGAAAGAGAGTAGAGAGAAGTAAAGAAAGATCCAAAGGTTAAAAAAAAAAAGAAGAAGAGACGAGGAAATGAGAAACAGAAGAAAAAATAAAAGGTGGAGATAGAAAGAATAAAATTCAAGGGACTGGAAGGAGAAGAAACAATAAACAAACAGTAAAAGGAAAAACCCCAAACTCAAAACACCTGGTACAGCTGTTGGACCAGGAAAGGATAAAAATTCTTGGGGGCCCCCTGCTAGCCCAGAATCTTATGAGGTGGATATGGAAGGGAAAGGGGTGACATTAGCGTTTCTGGCCCTAGATGGAGTTCCTATAGGCCTAGCTATTCTCCTTGTTCAGGACACTCAATAGAAAGTCATTTATGGAAGTCCTTGATGTAGCTGGTTCCAGTGTCTGTAGAACTACAGGGCAGCTGGGGGCAGAGTGGCTGGTTATGAGGGTTTCTGCTAGACTAATGGTGGGCTGGTGGCTCTGTGAGTTCTGTAGGTCTGCAACTGAGCCTGCTTGAAGCCAGGCACCAAAGAGGCACAGCCAATTCTCACCTCTCACTGGCATAGCACACAACCATATGACTCTGAATTGCCATAAAGCAGGGTCCACACTGCGGGTAGATGAGAGTAGATGCTGCCCATACTTCTGGTCACCAGGGGAGCATGAGGAAGAAGAAGGAATCATACCTTTCCTGTCACCTGGGTGAATCTGCTCTGCCACCTTCTGTAGCCAAAGCCAATCATAAAGTTTAATTTGGTTGGTCATGCTGTTTCTGGCCAGCCATTCACCAGGTAGTCTCCCTCTCTCACTGTCCATGCTCAGTGTTTCTGCCTAGGGAGCACCTCAGTCCACTTTTCTAACCTTTCCTCTGATGTTCAGGCTTCCAGAATCTTCATCAGTGTGTGTTTCATTTGGTCTCTCGATCTTTGTTGTAGTTGGTCCCTGTGGTGTTTGTGCCTTGTCTGCATCTTGCTGGAAGTCCTTAATATTTGTCCTTTAGTAATTGACGAATTTCGCTCAGCATAAGGTCCTCCAGGCTCATCCATGTTATGAGGTGTTTCACGGATTCATTGCTATTCTTCAATGTTGCATAGTATTCCATTGTGTGTATGTACCAAATTAAAATTATCCATTAGTCCACCGATGGACATTTAGGCTGTCTCCATCTGTTTGTTACTGTTAATAGTGTTGTGATGATGAACATTGGTGTGTGTGTGTGTGTGTATATATATATATATATATATATATATATATATATATATATATCGATAGAGAGAGAGAGATTGCAAGCTCTATTGGGCAGTGAACCTCAAGGTCAGCAGTTCAAAACTACCAGCTGTTCCGTGGGAGAAAGATGAGGCTTCCTGCTCCCGTAAAGATTTACAGCCTCAGAAACCCTGTACAGGGTCTCTATGAGTTAGAATTGACTCCACAGCACATAGCCACTATATATATATATATATATACATATACTCATGTCCTGGCTTTTATTTCTTGTGGATTTATACCAAGTAGAAACCCTATACAAGATTGTTATGAGTCAGAACTGACTCCACAGCACTTAACAACATCCAAATAGAGGGATTACAGGATCATATGGTATTTCTATTTCCAACTTTCTGGGGAAGTGCTATACCGTTTCATACCATTTTATAGTCCCACCAGCATTGTAAGAGGGTCCCAGTCTCTCCACACCCTCGTCATCATTTGTTGCTTTCTGTTTTTTTGACCTTTGCTCTTAATGCGGGAGTGAGATGATATCCCATTGTTGTTTTGATTTGCATCTCTCTAATGGCTAATGATCACAAATATTTCTTCATATGTTTGTTGGCTGCCTGAATGTCTTCTTTGGTAAAATGTTTATTCATGTCCTCTGCCCACTTTTAAATTGGGTTGTCTTTTTCTTGCATAGGTCTTGTATTTATTTGTATATTTAGGTATATGTTATTGTTGTTGTTAAGAGCCTTCAAATCTGTTCCAACTCATGGCAACCCACTATAGGGTTTCCAAAGATTGGCTGGTGGGTTTGAATTGAATTGTTGATCTTGTGGTTAGCAGCCCAGTGCTTATTGTCCATTGCCACAGCAGAACTCCAAAGAGAATCAATGAATAATTAGGAGAACTATCCCCTTAATTTGCTTTGTGAAAACTTATCTCAAAACTTCTACATTCTCATTGATAAACAAATCAGGCAGGCATATTGGAAATGCTTAAAAAAAAAAAAAAAAGAGTTTTTGGTTCTAGAGCCTAGAGCATTTAGGGGTCTAACAGTGGATGATACAGTTGTTATATAGATATGTAAATCTTTTTCCTTAATAACAAAATGTGAATTAATACTTAATCAAAAGATGAAAAGAAACAGAAATTTTAATTGAGTGTTGATAAACTTTAATGGTTCTCACCTTCAATAGGCCTAGATGCTTCTTCTTTTAGGTAGTTATTTTATAAATTGTGGGCAGTGAAAATTTAAGAAGTACTCCTCTTTATCAAAAATCAATGTTTCTGTTAATTAAAGGGGCTAGGAAACACAAAAAGCACCCTTCCCTTTTTATTGTTAGCAGTTGTTCTTCATTAGACAATACCAGGTTTCCATTAGCTTTGTGTAATTCAAGAGTCCAATAACTATTGCAAAATGTTGAAGATGTTACTGCATAAGTCAGATTTAGAACAGCTATTTGGATCTCAATTATTAATGAAATTAGGGTCCTGAATGTCCGCGAGAACATTGCCTTAGGTAAAGGCTGTAAAGGAAATCATATTAGTGTGGAATTTCCTCTCCTCAGGGGCTCCTCTTAGATTACATTATTCACTTAGCTATCTCCTGTCAGGGAAATTGAAATGTTGGCCATGAGCTGATCCGGGGGCAGAACCAAATGGAGAAGTTCAGGGATATGGTGGTGGCATTCATTCCAAAACATTTGTGTGCTTGCAGCTGGCTTTACCTTTGGTCTCATTTAGTGTTTTCAAAACAAGCACCATCAGGGATGGCACAAACTGGAGAACAGAAAGGAACAAAGTAGAGAGGAACTCTTTTAGGAAAAATTGGCTAGCATTCCATGCGATAAGCAACTTTGCATTCTTCCTCTTGGGGATCTTCTCAGGAACATTGGCAAGTGTGATGGCTCCTCTGTGGTCTCTCATCCTGGTGGCTGCCTCAGGTAAGTCCTTTCAATGTTTTTCCTTGGCATTGGGTATTCATTCCTATAAGGTGAAGATGATAGTTTTATATACTATGCTTGATAACTCCTTATCAGTGTGTGTTTTTTTCTTAAATTCATCATCTGACAAAATGCCAGTTCTGTGAAGCTACAAGAAATGTTCATGACTTTCCTTCTATAATACATATAAATGGAGAATCACACAGTGGGGCTTTTTACACATAGCTGAAACATATGCTCTCAAAATTTCAAAAATGTATGCTATGGTTGTAACTCTTTAAATAGGTGTCTTCCCTAGAAATCAATATCTCTTTACAGTAATTTACATTAAGAGTTTAGGGCATTATTTTCCAGATTGGCTTTTATGTCTGGATAGTATATTTTATTATTCAAAGTAGTCTTGTCTTCATTATATGCTGTTAGGAGTCCCTTGCATGTCATAGCTACAGATACCTGAATACTATTTGGTGTTAGAGGTTTTAGGCCTAGCCTTACCAAGTGTGTGCAGGTGATGAACATATCTTTAAAGACAGATACTATAAGCCTGCAAGTTTTGATTATACAATTCTTAAAAATACTGTGGAAACTGTCACAGATTGAATTGTGTTCTCCCAAAATATATGTCAACTTGGCTGGGTCTTGACGGTCAGTTATGTAACGATATAATGTGGCAGTTCTGTAATGGTCCCCTATGATGTGATCTGATGTGATAAACCAATAGGGTTAAGGGTGGGCTGCAGTATCCTTAACCCATCACAGCCCTGATCTCATGTAAGAGAGTTTTCCAGGGGTGTGGCTTGCAGCATCTTTGATCTTACAAAGATAAAAGCAAAGAGAAGTGAGCAGAGAAAGAGGAAGCTACTACCACCAAGAAAGAAGAACCAGTTGTGGAGTGCATCTTTTTGTCCCTGCACTGTGAAGCTCTTAGCCCCAGGGCAAGACTGAGATCTCCAAAAAACGCCACACTGTAGATGCTCAAAGGAGACAGGGACTTTTCCCCAGGAACAAAAGAAACAGAGAGCCTTCCCCTAGAGCCCACATGTTGGATGTGAACGTCTGGCCTCCTAAACTGGAAGATAATAAATTTCTGTCCCTTTAAACCATACACTTGTGGTACTTCTGTTTTAGCAGCACTAGATAACTGAGAAATGAGTACATTTTTTTGCAGCTTCCGAAATCATAGTTTCGTGGTGGCTCTGTAAGGATAAACACTGGACTGTGAACCACAAGGTTGGCAGTTTGAGTCCACCAATCATTCTTCAGGAGAAAGATGAGGCTTTCTGCTCCCACAAAGGTTTACAGCTTCAAAAACCCTATACAGTGTCACTATGAGTAAGAACTGACTTGAAGGCACTTAACAACAACAACTCCCCAGTATTAACTCTACTGAACTGAACCATGTCACTGAGGATGCAATTGATTCTTAGCTGATAAAATGTAAACAAATCAAGAATGCATGATTTGGCTGATATTTCCAAATACCTTACTTCCTAGAGTTTATATATAAATTTTCAAGTTTTTAAAATGCAACTAGAAGTAGTGCAGTGAGCCAATTAAGGAGATGAGTAAGGAATTTGGTAGCCAAGTAGCCGGAAATGATTTCTTATTGTATAGAGAAGAAAAACAGCTACTTACCATTAAGCTATAAAAGTCTCGGATATTGAACTTAGAGGGTACAAGCATATCTTAATTATAAAAATGAAAACAGAGGAAATTTCATTAAATGCCAAATGGATTTTTTAGCAGAAAATAATTGTGAACATTAAACTAAGTAAGATAAAATAGAAAAATGAAGGTAAGAAAACAAGAAATTCTTCTTAACGATAACTTTCTAAGGTTTTGTATTTTTGTCTTGAATCTGATAGAAAAGTGTTTTAATAATATCTAGTAATCAGGCCTTGACTGTCAAGCAAATGGAGAACATTTACTGAAGAAAAAGCCACCCTTTGAAATTTGACTTCATTAGTCCTGGTGTGGCACTGAGGGATAAGCACTGGACTGCTAAGCACAAAGGTGGTGGTTAAAGCCCACCAGCTGCTTCCTGGAAACCCTATAAAGGTCGCAATGAGCCAGAACTGGCTCAACAGCATTTAACAACAATAATATCAAGACAATTTGTAAATATAAGAGCTCTGAACTGATCCCAAACCCATGAGTGTTTTGAGGTAGAGGAGACCTATATTAGGAGAATCCTAACCAGTCATGTTACCTTGGACAAATCAATTCATCTCTTAGGGACTCAGTTCCCCTGTAAGTTAACTGTTTATTTCAGATATTCATGAAGATAGACTGAGATAGCATTATGGAATTGTATGGTACAACCAAAGTGTACAATATTATTAACCTGAAAATACACACAGAGAAAATAACATCTAAGTGTTTCTGCCCAATAATGTACTCCAGGTAACGTGCTAGTCTTCCTGTTTCAGGGAGCCGGGTCAATGTAGTGTCATGTTTAAGAGCATGGGCTTTGGATCCAGACCAGAAACCCAAAACCAAACCCGTTGTCAACCAGTGGATTCTGACTCATAATAACACGGGATGGGATTTCTGAGTCTGTAAATTGTTATGACAGCAGACAGCCTCATCTTTCTCTGGTGGGTTAGCAGTCCAGTGCTAATCCTATAGCACCACCAGGGAGGGATTCTGACTGTCCAGCTCCATCACTTGTAAACTGACAGTGGGCAGTACTAATCTAAGTCTATACAGTCCTTCAAGTCCGCAAGGCCAGCAGTTCAAATCCACCAGGTGCTCTGCAGGAGCAGGTGAGGCTTTCTGCTCCCATAAAAATGTACAGCCCCAAAAACACTATTGTTGTTATTGTTAGGTGCCGTTGAGTTGGTACCAACTCATAGCACCCCTATGCACAACAGAACGAAACACTGCCCAATCCTTGGCCAATCTCACATACGGCGTCTCTATGACTGGGAACGGATCCTATGACACACAATAGTAGTCCTTCATCTGTAATAATAGTACCCTTCTCATAGCGTTGCAGCATTCCTGTCTCATAAGTTTGGTGTGAAAGTTAAATGAGATAATTCATGGAAAGTCTTAGCCTACTTCCTGGCTTACAGTAGGTATTCCGTTTATGTATTGTTCCCACACAATGAAACCTCTATTTCCTTATAATCTCTCAGATACATGTTGGTTGTTGTTCTTTTTGGTTATCATCAAGTCGAATCAGATTCATGGCAACCCCAAGCATGCAGAGTAGAACTGCATTCCACAGCGGTTTTCAAGGCTGTGATCTTCTGGAAGCAGGTAACCAGGTCTTTCTTCTGAGATGCCTCTGGGTGGGTTTGAATTGCCAACCTTTCTATAATAGTCCAACACTTACCTACTTGTGTCACCCAAGAATTCAGAATCCTGAAGATAGCATACTCACCAAAGAGGGACTAGCCCCTTTGTGTCCTGAACAGTTTAAGATGGGTGTGTGCGAAAGCACTCATTTAAACAAGGTAAATAATGATTCTACTGTACCCTTAGCTTTGAAAAAAATCTCTTTACCTAAAAGTACTAAAAATACTCCTTATCTCAGTCACTAGCATTTCTATTTTCTAGAAATCCTACGAATGAATCATTTGCAGCTGATTGTTAACATTCAAGGAGGCAGCATTAGTGAGGAATCTTTTCTGGGTCTGTAGATAGCTTCCATCAGTGTCTGTTGAAACATCACTGAACTGTGAGTCATTTAGGGCTTGTGTGAATGTCACATTAGCTTTCAAGGGGCATAAATTTACTGTTAATTAATGGTCACTTAAATCATTAATCTCTCTTCTGTAACTGATCTTTCTCCTTGGGCAGATTTGCATTCATAGTAGAAATGCAATTTATTATTTCTTCCCATTTTAAACAAAGAACTCTTTTTCCTTTTGGGTTCATTTAAGCACATTTTCATCTGCTTACAATTTTTCTCCTACCATTGCTTGTTTTGCTTTTGCTCCTAGTTCTAGTGTCTAGAATTTTCTGTTTTTAACCCAAAGACTTTGACAGGGACAAAAGCATTGAAACTGTTCTAGAAAATATGTGTTTGTCTATAGGGACCTTGTGGATTGTTTCCTAGAAAGGACACTGGGAAGAGAATTGAGCTTTTATAGGCAGAGGTGCAGAGAACACGCACTCATTTATTAGAATTATGCTTTAATTCTGTCTCAGTTAGTTAGTTTTGTGTACTAACACACACATTTCAGTGTTTCCCCAACTGAGACTTGAATTGGGGGCTTCCAAGTGAAGTAAAAGTGAAGTTGCCCAAAGCAACATTAGCAGGGAAAACACCAGACCAACTTTGCTTTATGCTCTGGATTCCCCTCCCTTGGTACACGCTAGCAAGAAGTGGTCTCGGATATAGAGATTCACAGCGCACTTTTGACAATTACACTAAAAATGAAAACCAAAAAAAAAAAAAACAACCTAAAAATGATGCCTGGTGCAACCAACCACCCAATTCCTGAGTAGTTACCACTATAGGCATCTTCACGGGTGAACAGTTTTAGGGAGTTAAAATTCTCATTAGATTCCCAGTACTGATGATAATGAGAGTGTATATTCCACTGCCCACAATGAGTCTGAAATTGCACCTCCAGCATCGTTGTTAACGTTTTGGTCACATTGACATTGATAAATCATAGAAATTGCTGCCTGTGGCGGCAGCTGACATGGCATCATTCATAAAGAAATGGGCATAAACAGGATTGTCGCACAGGGAGCAGAGATCTCATTTACAGTTTCCTGTTGGATCCCTCATACCTTCAGCAGCTCATCAAAATAACCATCAAAATCACTGAGAGCCCAGGCGAATTCACGAGCAGGACACTACAGATTAGATTTCACTCACACACCGTGGCAGGAGGTGTGCAATTTGCTTCAGTCCAATGACTTAGCGAAGCTCTGAGTTCCCTAGGGCTGGTGAAGCTTGTGAACAAAATATCTTTTTGCAATTCAGAGAAAGCCCTCACAAATTTGTCACTTTCAATTGTTTGTGCTCATTTCTCTTGCTTCCTTTCCCCTGGCCTATCCTGCCTCAACAGCAATAACTGCTCTTCTACAAATCAAGATGTCTGGGTTATAGGAAATGGTTGTTCCCTGCAACTAGAGAGAATGTTGCCAAAACAAAGATCTCATTTTCTGACAAGTGCATTTTATTGAAAGACAGACTGTGAGAAAAGAAATTTTTGAGGAGAAAAATATGAACTGGAATCACAGTCTTTGAGTTCACTGGTTTATCCATTTGTTGTTGCTGTCCTTGTTTTAGCTTCTATTTAAATGTTGGATTATGAGTGGAAAATAAAAACAGAGAGTCCAATGAATATCTATTTTGTTTGGAGAGAAGATGGTCTCTTCAAGATGCATGGTTGCTGTAAGAATTGAGTCTTAGGAATCGTTTACAGCCTTGGAAACGGGGTAGATTTATTTATCTTTATGTTTATTATTTATCTTTTGTTTCTCTTCTGGGCACTTAGACCATCAGTTCACTACAAAGAGGTGTCTTAGATAGATCTCAAGTGCCGCTCTAACAGAAGTAACACAAGTGGATGACTTTAACACACAGAAATTTATTCTCTGATAGTTTAGAAAGCTAGGAGTCCAAATTCAATGCACCACCACTAAGAGAAAGCTTTCCCTCTCTGCCAGCTCTGGAAGAAGGTCCTTGTCTCCTTTCATCATCTGTGGGTCCAACAGTCCTTGGCGATCTCCATACATTTTGGCATCAATCTTCCCCTGTAGCAGCTTCTCTGCACAAGGACCCTGTGTCCAAAGGACACCCTCTGCTTCCAGCTCTTCTCTCCTCTCAGCTCCCTTCTCCTTCTATCTCTTGTAAGACAAAAGATGAAACAGGCTTTGCCCCTGGGAAGCGCCCCTTATATGTGATCAGGGCTCTGACATGAGTAAGGGCGTTGCATTCCACCTTAATCCCCTTACAACTAATTGACTGTATGCTCATATCATTATGTAACTGCCCAATCATTGAGAATCATACCCCATCCAAGTTGACAAATATTTGAGGGGAACACAATTCAAAGCATGACAAGAAGTATCTGCCAGAGTATATGCAGATTGGGGAGAAATGAAAATCATATTCTACTAAGAGCCAGGAGCCCCCAAAGAATCAGAAACATCCTAAAGATGCTAAACTTCTTTCATTTTATTCTCAAGTGTTGGGTCTCTTCCAGGTATCCAAGCCCAAGCCAGAGATTCAACGTATCCTGAGAAATCTGCTCTACACCATCTCACGAAAACTCTATTACAGAAATACCACAAGGAAGTGAGACCAGTTCACAAATGGAATGAAGCCACTACTGTATACCTTGATCTATCTGTCCATGCAGTGTTGGATGTGGTAAAATTTTTACCTTTTACTATACTTATTACCTTTTTTAAAAATGACTTGCTATTTATGCAGGGGTCTGGGAGAGGTTACAGGTCCTTGGGTGGTACAAACAGCTTTCATTCCGCTACTAACCAAAAGTTCAAATCTAGCCAGTGGTGTTATGGATGAAAAGCCTGGTCATCTGCTTCCTTATGGCTGGCAGAATGTGTGCTTAGGACATTTAACTGAATATATATTTGGTTCTGTGTTTGTGTACATCAAATATTTTTGCTCTGTTCATGTGTGAAATATGAGATGTAAATGGGGAGTCACAGGGAGGAAGTAGGATAATTATTGTGGTAGGAGGGATTATAATCGTTGAGATGAAACAAAGTGCATGTTTTATTAAATGTAAAGCTGATGGTCTTGTCTATAAACCTTCACTCAATTCACAATAAAAAGTTTTTGTAAAAAAAAATTGCAGACAAGAAGATGCTATGGGTTGGTTCTGAGCTGTCACTCATGAGGTAGACGTGAGTCAGTACCAACTTGCTGACAAGAGGTTTAGTTGTTGTTTTTAATTACTTCATAATGCTTATAGACTAGTGTTTGATTAATTAACTGGACACCAGAGCCTAGTCAACTGGACACAAAATTGTTGTTGTTAGGTACTATCTAGTCGGTTCTAACACAAAGCAACCTCATGCACAACAGAATGAAACACAGCCAGTCCTGTTCTATCCTCATTATCATTGTTTGACCCATTGCTGCGGCCACTGTGCCAATCCTTCTCATTGGGGGACTTTCTCTTTTTCCCTCACCCTGCACTTTACCAAGCATGATGTCCTTCTCCAGGGATTGATCCCTTCTGATAACATATCCAAAGTATAATAGATGACGTCTTGCCTTCCTGGCCTCCAAGGAGCATTCCCACTGTACTTTTTCCAACAAACTTTGGTTTGTTCTTCTGGCAGTCCATGGAACTTTTAATGTTCTTCTCTAACACTGTAACTCAAATGCATCAAATCATCCATGGTCTTTTTTTATTCAATGTCCAATTTTCACATGCATATGAGGCGATTGAAAATACCATGGCTTGGGTCAAGTACATCTTTAGTCCTCAAACTGATCTCTTTGCTTTTGAACACTTTAAAGAAGTCTTGTGTAGCAGATTTGCCTAATGCAATATGCTGTTTGATTTCTTGGCTGCTGCTTCCATGAGCATTGATTGTAGATTCAAGCAAAATGAAGTCTTTGACAGCTGCAATCTTTTCTCCATTTATCATGATGATATTTCTTGGCCCAGTTGTGAGGATTTTTAAATTAAATTAAAATTTTTTTACATTAACGTGCAATCCATACTGAAGGCTGTGGTCTTTGATCTTCATCATTATGTATTTTCAGTCCATTTCAATTTCAGCAAGCAAGGTTGTATCATCTGAATATTTTAGGAAAATCTTTTGATGCTTTCTGTATTATTCAATATTTTACCCAGGTTGTTGTGTTGTTGTTAGGTGCCATGGAATTGGTACAAACTCATAGTGATGCTATGCACAACAGAGCAAAACATTGCCTGGTCCTGTACCAACCTCACAATCGCTGCTGCCACGTGCCAATCCATCTCATGGGGGATTTTCCTCTCTTTCTTCAATCCTCCATTTTACCAAACATGATATCCTTCTCCAGGGGCTGGTCCCTCCTGACACTATGTCCTAAGCAGGAGAGATGAAGTCTAGCCATCCTGGCTTCTAGGGAGCATTATGGCTGTACTTCTTCCAACACAGATCTATTTGTTCTTTTGGCAGTCCATGATACTTTCAATATTCTTCTCCAACACCATAATTCAAATGCATCAATTCTTCTATGGTCTTCCTTAGTCACTGTTCAACTTTCACATGCACATGAGGTTATTAAAAATACCATGGCTTGGGTCAGGTGCACCTTAGTCCTCAAGCTGACATCTTTGCTCTTCAACATTTTAAAATGGTTTTGTGCAGTAGATTTGTCAAATGCAATATATTGTTTGTTTTCTTGACTGGTGCTTCTATGAGTGTTGATTGTTGTCCTGTTCAAAATGAAGCCTTTGACAACTTCAATCTTTTCTCAATTTATATAGATATTATTTATTGGTCCAGTGGTAAGGATTTTTGTTTTCTTTATGTTGAGGTGCAAACCACACCAAAGGCTGTGGTCTTTGATCTTCATCAGCAAATATTTTGTTTCCTCTTCACTTTCAGCAAGGAAGAGTATATCATATACGTATTGCAGGTTGTTAATCAGTCTTCCTCCTATCCCTATGCCATGTTTATCTTCATATAATCCAGCTTTTTAGATTATGTGCTCTGCATATAGATTGAATAACTGTGGTAAAAGAATACAACCCTGGTGCACACCTTTCCTAATTTTAAACCACTCAGTGTTACCTTGTTCTGTTCGAACTACTGCCTCTTGGTCTATGTACAGAGACCTCATGAATACAATGAAGTGTTTTCGAATAGTCATTCTCTGCAGTGCTGGCCATAGCTTGTCATGAAACACACACTTGAAAGCCTTTGTGGAGTCAATAAAGCACAGGTATTCTCTGCTTTCTGGTATTCTCTGTTTTCAGCCAAGATCTATATGACGTCAATTATGATATCCCTCATTTCACATCCATTTCTGAATCCAACTTGAACCTCTGGAAGTTCTCTGTCAATGTATAGTTGCAGCCATTATTTGAATTCTCTTTAGCAAAATTTTACTTGCATGCAATTTTACCCATAGAATCCTTCAATATTTCAAGTCGAGGCTTGAATTTTTTCTTCAGTTTTTTCAGGTGGAGAAATCCTGAGCATGTTCTTCCCTTTGGGTTTTCTAACTCCAAGTCTTTGTGCATTTCGTTGTAATACTTGACTTTGTGTATTTGAGCTTCCTTTGGAAGTTTTCTGTTCAGCTTTTTGACTTCCTGATTTTTTCCAGTCACTTTAGCATTTCTATGTTGGAGAGCAAATTTCAGTTTCTACTTTTTAAAATTATTAACCTTTTTATTGTGAATTGAGTGAAGGTTTACAGAGCAGATCATTTGTTTTTCTTTTAACAAATCATCTACTTTGCTTTACTATAATGATTGCGATCTCCTCCATGTACCATTAGTTAACAGTATTAACTTTATTCACTTTAACTCTCGCAGTCCTCCCTGTATCTCCTGCTACCTTCATCTTTCCTTTGCCAACCTCCAACTTGTATATTGCCTGCCCCATCATCCATGATAACATGTGTCTACCCTCTAGCCCATGAATAATTTTCCCTACCCACCCCTGGAACCATAATGTTGTTGTTGTTAAGTGTCGTTGAGTCAGTTCTGACCCATAGCGACCCTGTACAAGGTTTCAGAGGGTGTAAATCTTTTACGGGAGTAGAAAGCCTCATCTTTCTCCCACGGAGCTGCTGGTAGTTTCGAACTGCTGACCTTCAGGTTCGCAGCCCGATTCGTAACCACTACACTACCAGAGCGCCTTAATAGATTTTTTTAAATCTAGAAAACCTTTTCTTAACTTTTCCTATAGTTTTCTCATACAATATTTGTCCTTTAGCAGTTGACTAATTTCACTCAGCATATTGTCCTCTAGGTTCATCTAAGTTATGAGGTGTTTAGCAGATTCATCATTTTCCTTCAGTGTTCATAGTATTCCATTGTGGGTATGAACCAAAGTTTGTTTATCTTCTCTTCCATTATTGAGCCTTTAGGCTGTCTCCACCTGGTTTTTTTTTTATTGTGAATAGTGCTGCAGTGAATATCAGTATGCATGTATCTACTCATGTCCTTGCTCTGATTTCTTGCAGATATATACCAAATAGAGGGATTACTGGGTCATAATATACTTCTTTTCCCAATTTTCTGAAGAAGCGCCATACTGTTCTTCAGAGTGGTTGAATTATTTGCAGTCTTACCAGCAATGTAGGAGGGTCCTAGTCTCTCCATACCCTTGCTAGCATTTAATGTTTTCTGGGGTTTTTTTGGAAACTTCGCTGGTAATGTTGGTGTAAGATGGTATCACATTGCTGCTTTCATTTGCCTCTCTCTAATGGCTAATGGTGGGATACATTCAAGGTCATATTTTGGCTCTTGTGGACTTGTTTTCATTTTCTTCAGCTTCAGTTTGAATTTGCATATGAATAATTGATGGTCTGTTCCACAGTCTGCCCCTGGCCTTGTTTTCACTGTTTCCATTGTCTCTCCGCGGATGTAGTCAACTTGATTTCTATATATTTCTATGTATTCCATCTGGTGAGGTCCATGTCTTTGGTCATCTTGTATGCTGTCTAAAGAATGTATTTGAAATGAACAAATCATTGATTTTGCAGAATTCTATCATGCGTTCTCCAGTATCATTTCTATCACCAAGGCCATATTTTCCAAATACTGATCCTTCCTCTTTGCTCCTAAACATCCTTATCAACGGAGAAAAGATTGAAGTTGTCAAGGACTTCATTCTTCTTGGATCAGCTATCAACACTCACGGAAGCAGCAGTCAAGAAATCAAATGACGTATTGTGTTAGGCAAATCTGCTGCACAAGACCTTTTTAAAGGGTTGAAGAGCAAAGATGTCAGCTTGAGGACTAAGGTGTGCCTGACCCAACCATGGTATTTTCAATAACCTCATATGCATGTGAAAGCTGGACAATGAATAAGGAAGACTGTAGAAGAATTGATGCTTTTGAGTTATGGTGTTGGAGGAGAATATTGAAAGTGCCATGGGCTGCCAAAAGAACCAATAGATCCATTTTGGAAGAAGTGCAGCCAGAGTGCTCCTTGGAGGCCAAGATGGCCAAACTTCGCCTCTCATACTTCGGACATATTGTCAGGAGGGACCAGTCACTGGAGAAGGATATCATGTTTGGTAAGGTGGAGGGTCAGAGAAAAAGAGGAAGACCCCCAATGAGATGGATTAGCCAAGTGGCAGCATTGATGGACTCAAGCGTGGCAACTGTAGTGAGGTTGGCCCAGGATCAGGCAGTGTTTTGTTCTGCTGTGCATAGGGTCGCTATT